TTAACTTTTGCAAAGCTTCTCTGAGCTGGAATCAATAAGAGGAGTCATTAACCTTAGCCTAGAGGGACGGAGCCTGGTAATTAGTCATACAGGGATATAACCCTAGTATTGACACCAGACTCTCACAATGTGCATAACAGTACAAATCTCTGTATTTTAGTCTTAAGTAAGCCTTGTGAGAGTAATAAATTATCATTCATTCAATCTATTTTTACGGACCTACAGCCCCGGGAATGTTTTTTACAAAAACCTAACAGATAGCAGAACCGAAACGGTGGAGATACTTGATGAATCAAAAATATTTTATCCAAAGAAGGAGACAAAGAAACCTGGTGAGAACAAAAAGTTTGTTAATTAACATGAGATGGATGATTTTTGATGTATCCAGATTGAATCATTTTGAGTTTGTGACATATATTGTAAAGTCGAGTCCATACCATACGTGACATTTGTTGTGACGTATTGTGTCAAACAAGCCGTGACAAAGATACACATGTGGAACATTTTTTTAACGGACTACGTTTTCCTACACTTGCGTCCGCGACGACATGGAAACCTTTCTGAAAATGCTGTGTTAGTCGCTAAGTACTGGTCCAAACAAAATATAAATGTCAGGTCGACACGCAAAGAAGAAGAAGAGTTCAAAACCGGAACGCAGTAATGCTTACGTTTCCGATTGGCGGCAGTACTTCTCTGGACGAACTCTTTCACAAGGAGCTCTACTGCTACTAAAACTATAGGTTTCCAATCAAATATAGTTTCTTTAGAGGATGTCACACTCGCGTTATTATCGTATCTACGTGTCATGTTACAGAGATGGGCAAGCGTCTGGGTTTTAACCCGGCACTTTGTAATGGCGGTTTAAATCAGGTTAAAACCTATTAAATCCCGAAATGGCAAGCAAAAACTATTTATAACTAAATACATATTTTTTGTGAATCGAGTTTTGTTCTAATGTAATGAGATTATTACAAAATGTTTATTGCTTTCTTGTCGGAATAATTCGACGCCCTTCTATTGTATTTAATCGAGTATCCCTACTTAGGATGCACAGATTGTACCCTTTGTGGTGAGAATACACAGGATTGATTGCCTATTTTTTTAGTAAAATTTTTTGTATGGAATTATACCAAATTCCGTACTCGCCGTTTGTGTCCACGATTTTGGGCAAAAATGGGTTAAAACCACCCGGTTTGGGTAAAATCCCAGATTAAATCGGGGCGGTTTGATTGGGTTTTAACCCACTACCCATCTTCAGCCATGTCACTATTACACAGTCTCGGGGTGGGTCTGATCGATATCCGGCGCCATCGGTACAATAACGATAATGTTCTTAGATCGCGTAGCAAAAATCATCCACCCTTGTTGTTATTACGCCGTTTTTGATAAAAATCATATAATTATAACATTTTACATTGATGTCATCAGCGATAGGAATGGGCAAACCTGATAATGTAACTCGTTACACCGGCTCGTCTAACGCAATTCTTTTGGAGTTATTTGCTATGGACCCTGAAATGGATGAAAGGTACTACATTACGAATGTATTTTCTTTGTTCTAATAGTTTTGGATGTAGTTTTATGGCGAGTATTTATAGATGGTAGTTAAAGGACCTTTAGTCTATAGTAGGCAATATGATTTTAGCATTGGCTATTGACATGGTAGAAACAGTTTTATCTAATTCTGCAACAGCGCAAATTCCTTAATTTAATTTATCCGTTTCTACTTAATTAAGCCCACTGCATATTTTTGGCAAGGCTTTAATTAGACCATAAGTAAATACTTCCTTACTTGTTGTTAGGCTGTTTACACAAGGCGCCGCAGCGGCAGCGTTGTTTGCCGTCGTGGGGCCGCAAGAGTTGCGGCGTCATACCGCAGCACCAGCGGTGTGATTGCAGCCCATGCAGGGCGAGTAACTAACACCGTACATTATTAGCAGCTGCGGTTTCAAGTAACGCCGCCGCCGCGGTGCGTGTATGAAAGTGTGTGAACAAATACAAGGGCGACTACAACTGACACCGTAACTACAGCGGCGGCGCGGTGCCGCTGTTTTTACGGTGTCAGCCTTAAATGTGGTACAAAATAAATTAAGAGTTAATAAATAATTTAGTGATGATTAAAAGAAGCAATCTCTATTCGCAGATACGGTTTTGATATGCTCGAAGTTGCTTTCGAGCTGTTTCCAGATAAAAATTACCTCATTTTGTGTCTACCCTCACGTCAGCCGCCATACCCTCTTTTGGAGCATTTTACTGTAAATGTTTTTATGATTTTCTTTTTACCTGTCTATACATTTTTATAATGTAGAATGTAGCAAAAATTCGGACCATACTTCTTAACAATAAATTTAAAGTTTGTACGTGCTTTAATTTGTTTTTTGTTACTAGTAGGTGTGATTACTAGCAGAAGTACGTTTACGTTACGAAAACCTTTGTGTTACGCGAGTATAGGACTTTAGTGCTTGTACATCTATGGTGTAGAGTTAAAATTGTCATTCCTATATTTTAAATAAAATTAGTAATTTTTATTTTCTTTGATAATTATCATGATAATTATCTGACACTTATTTGATATATCTTCGATAAAATTAATTTGCTGAGTCATAGTTTTGTTCCTTCACTTTTTGACTAAATATAACAAACAGTGAGAAAATTATACAAACACGAAGAACAATCTTTGGGTTTGTGAGTATTTTTAATCGATTTCAAAGAAGGAGGAAGTTATATGTTCGGCTGTATGTATGTTTTCTGTACATTTTCCCATTTCTCCGTCAATTGTGGACCGATTTTGAAAATTCTTTTCTTATTTGACAGGGTGCACTCTCGTGGTGATCCCATTGTCACCAAGTTAGTATCTGATGAGGGGATCCATGGAAATCGAGGAAAATCCTCGAATATTATAGGCATGTCAGTGTACTTACCGAATTCTCCATCAATTGTGGACTGATTTTGAAAATTCTTTTTTTTGTTTGAAAGGGTATACTCTCGAGGTGATGGTCCCTGATGCCGACGATGCTGTTTCGGGTTCGTTTCGACTGTTACAAATAAAAAAAATATTTTCCGCAAATAAAATTCGACTTTTCACTTGACACAATACATGTAATCAACAAATCACCGTTACCATGACAATCAGAAAAAAAGAATAAAATGTACAAAGGAGTCCGTAACAGTCCCATTGTCATTAAGAAGTCAGAATCTAATGAGGATCCCCATTCTCCCATGGAAATCGAAAAAAGCCGATAAGCGAACTTTTCAGGTCGGGTTTTTTTTAATGAAAAACTTACAATTATCATATAGACATTTGACTAGTTTGGATACGTCTCTGATACAAACACATGGTACCACATGGCTAGCGGTAGCATGTTGTTCCAATTAAAAATTTAAATATTGAGATAAATATCAAGGTATATTTTTATCAATATAATTAACGTGATAATTATCATGATATTTACCAATGCTAATAATTATCATTTCGAGCCCTGTCAGAAATTAACAAGTCATAAAGCATTTTTATTGACTACATCATAGTTCAACGCGCGTTACATATACATTTACATCCTTACATATTATCCTATGATACAAGGTGGTCAGTCATAGCCGCACATTATACCTACCTGGCGTAACATTTTGCAGCTTGTGGCTCCACTTAGCGGTAGAACAAGATTTATCAACGAATCTTTGTACGTAGCGCACGTTAACTCCGTTACAGGGTAAGTAAAAGTAACATAACATCGCAAATTACCGGCCGTGAGACAAAAAAAATTAAGTTTCCTGTGCCTGTTCTTCCTACCTTATAATGTGGAACCCAGCAGTTTTGTTTTGGGGTTGGAAATAAATAGGGCTGTGGTAGATACCGGTACATATAATATAGTATTTTTATTCTTTCTACTTTTATTTTTAACAGAAGAATGCGTGTGCGACCGGGTGAGACATATGATATAAACGGCATGGGAAGCATAGTGGATCACGCATGTCGCAGGGATGTCATCTTGGACTTATTCGACAACTCCCTGCGCATGCGCAATCTTGAATCGTTCGTGTTTCTCTGTGAGAATGTACCTGTTGGCGTCGCTATCATAGGGTTTGTCCTATAGTACTTATTAATTTTAAGATCCAAGTTTTGGAGTTTCACGGAAGTTGGCGGTTGCACTGTTAACCCGTGTCATTATAAATTCGACTATAATAAAGTTGAAATAAGATGCAGAGATGTTTAAAATATACCTAATTATAGTACAATAAGATAAGTAGTTCAACTCCTGTTCGACGCGTCAATGCTACACGGTAATGTGGTACCGTCGTTGTTTTCTATTTCAATTACACAAGTGCCTTAATTACTTTCTTTGGGATCAGAGGAACTTATGTGATATGCGTCTGGCATGCTGAGAGCATACTAAGCCAGACGCTGTGCCAATTAAGCTACGGAACGAACTACCGGACCTTACGAATTTTTCTATGTGCTTGTTGCAGATCTTTGTTTGGTTTTAACGACTTTTTGTAGCGTGTGTGAGTGTGTCTGTAATATTTAGTTATTTAATTTACATTATTATTTTAGATGTTCCTACTGTAAATATACTTTGAAAAAAATGAAGGTATTCACCGCAGTATTATAATTTTGGTCAAACAGAAGCATACATATTGATATTGTTCTACCAGAATCGCGGATAGGTATCTCGAGTATGGGAGTATGATTATGAAATAGAAATTATTTTATTTCAAATGCTGCATTCGAGGCATTCTTGTTCAAACGAGGCATTCTTGTCGCAAAACTTGTGCGACCCGTGTTATGCAACGCTAGTGCCTCGCGAGATTATGTGAATGTGTGCGTCCGTTCACGGGGCGTGACTGGCATGCACATATACAAGCTTCGATGCTACGTTTGTACGGAGTTACACTACTTGTTGTTGTTATTGTTGTGCTTTGATAATGTATATTTTTTATTTAGGAGTCCCGGGAAACACTTATTTAGGAAAAAAAGTGATAGCGCTAATAATAAATTAGATTTTTTGCGTTTTAGACCGCTAGAAAATGGTCCAGCAATTCGAACGCAGTATGACTTACAGCCTGAACCGAGATGGCCGAATACCGATGGCATCGTGAGTTAACTTCCTTAATTTCTGTAGTTATTATTTGGTATTAATTACCAAATTATATTGTGTTTAAATTATTTTTACACCTAAACCTCGTACAGTAGGATTTTACTCTTGTTTGTTGGAAAAAAGATATTTTGCTCAAGAAGCTATTTCCCATTATCTCTTAGCTTATAATTATAATTATATCTGGTTCATCTTAATAATAATTTAAGTTATTTATTCAGAGCTGAAAAACCTCTCACTTATCAAGTTCTTTAGTTGTCCCGATTGTGTACATATGAGAAATGAAACAATTTTTTTCGGTTCTCAATTGCAAAAATTTGTTTTTTTTTTTGCAATTGAGAATGTTTTGAGCCCTTACAGCTGATTGCTAAAAAATTGTTTAATTTCCAATTTCTTTTACTTTCTATTAGTTTAAAAGGGTTAACTAAACTTATTGTAAGATTGCTCATGGTAACGCGAACTATATTTACGTTTAACGCGACTGTTTCCTTCTGTACTAATAAGCAAAGGATAGTTTAATTTTAGTACAGAGTTCTTATATTTAGACGGCAATTATTTTATCAGAAATCAATGTATTACAAAATTTGACGGTTACTTTTTTATTTACGAGCTTTACACTTATCGGTGGAGTAAACGCCAATCATTTTTGTTCAGTGTCTTAACTTTCAATTTTTGAGACGACAAGGCAAAAACATTTAAATATTTTCATCTAATTCTTCTCCCGCCTCTCTTTCCTTCGATCTTTCCTTCTATAATGCTTTTAAAAAAATTGTCATGACGTATTAGATGCTTCAACATTGGCCTTTCGGTAGCTTTACTTTTGCTGCACTATTCTTAACGCCTCATTGATTTTTCTTTTGTTGTCCAAATCCATCCATTCTTCCTAGCACTACATATTAAATACTTCCAAGTGTTTTTTGCCTCTTTGACAGTACTAATATCGACGGAGATATCTACATTAAGTTTAGTTTGCGTTTGTGTGACTCGACATAAATGTTAACTATAACCTTACTAATAATATAGGTTTTAGCTGGAGTGCTTTCGCCAGTAATGGAGCCCCACACTCGCTGGTTTTTTCGGGAAATTATGAGGAGAACCCGTTACACTACTCTTTTCTGGCGTGTTCAAACGTTCGCGAAGGGAGAATCGGTAAATCTCTTGGTTTTTAGTTAACAAGTCAGCTCTTTGAATACTGTAATGATTCCAAGTAATTATTTCTATAACAATCTCTTGAAAGAATTTAGTATTCCATGAAATTTGAAATATGTAAGAAGAACTTTACCTGGTAATATCATTGAACTACTATTTTTTTATTGGAAATTTCATTAATACAGGGACATTCTTACATAGTTAGAGGCCCAACACACGGAGTCTTAGAAATATCTTAAATTTTATAGAAACTTCCATGGCTAGGTATTAAAGTTTACCAAGTTCCAGAATGTTCATTTTTGGTTATTAATTTACTTTAAAATATGATCATCTCTAGGCATGTGGCTAATTCGTGGTAGGGGTTACAGGTGACAACTACAACACAACCAACACACGACGAGGTATGAACTTTTTTTTTGTAACTTGTATTTTTTTTTACAACTAGGCTCCATCGCGTAATTTGATGTCGTTAACGGAGCGTATGGTGCCCGTTCGTCCTCGGCGTCTGATGCCAAATATGACTGGCAGTAAGCGACTGGATAAAATATTCAAAGACGTGTGAGTTTCCTTTCTTTTTGTGTAAAGATGATACGCCAAGTGTGAGAACGTGCGGACTTCTACTATAGTGTAGCGATGCGAGTCGGCTATGTACGTATTGTTTATATGATATTGCAAGAATTATTATGCAAATTATATAGGGTGGCCGCAGTGGAGATGAAGTAAAGACGAGAAAATATGATGAATAACTATATTAAATTTCCACAAAGGTATTTCTTAAACTAAATAATTTTAAGAACGTCCGAAGTTAGGTACGTTAGGTCTAAAAGTACTTATACGAAAAAGATCTTAACTAAAGGAATTTAGTCTACGTCCGATGTTAGGAACGTTGGGCCGAAAAGTGTCTCATAATTATAATTAAAATGACGAGTTTTGCATCGGTCACGTTGCAATGCACGGGGCGCGCGTTCCGGGGTGCGCGAATGCAAGTGCATTGAACTGACGTTTTAGGTATGTGTGTTATGCAAATCTGGATACATAACTTGCATATCTACGTTGCTGCAATAGTGCAGTTTTATTGTAAAGCTCTGCGGTGTTTTCACCTTTACCGCAAATTATTTCGCAGATTGGTTTAGTACATTTAATGTTAGGTGGTTTCAGTCCGTTTTGTCGGAGACAACGAGAACAGTGCCGCGAAAATTTTGTATGGGTACATGTTTGGTTAGTTAGTATTTTAATTTATCTGTTTGGATTCTATTAAGCGTTTTGTTGATGGGTTGTTTTTTTCTAAAGGGGCTAACATGTTTAACAATGATGGAAGCCCTAAATAAATAAAGAAGTTTTTATTTATTTTAACAATGTCGTGGTCTCATGGCCATAATTATAGAACAATGTACCGACTCTTTTCAATATTGTAAATGCAACAAAATATAAATAGCTGATTTTCCAGAGAGTCTCCGTTTGCTCTATGGATAATTGAGCGGCCAATGACAACCCTGCCCAAGGTGAATGTAAACAACAGCATTGTCATCGTCGGCGCTAGCCGCACGGGACTCGCTTTCTTGGAGACTTTGATTATGGGGTAATGTGCACAAGCTAATTTTCACGTTGACTATAAAATTGTAGAGCATAGACAATAGACCTAATGATTGAAAATAGTGTTGAAACGGATATTTGGCCGAATGCCGAATATTCAGCCAGGAGCAGCCGAAGGAGTAGCCGAATATTCGTCCTAATTAACGCCTTGTATGCGAAATTTCAATATATATTCAGCATTATGGTTGTTCCTTGGGCGGTCAACTATAACGTCTTAAATTTTTACATTGACGTTACGTCTATGACTTCAAAAAACAGATCCCGATCACACCCCAGGCCTTTTGAAGCGGTCTGAGAATAAACTGACTATTAATTTAAATTATTGATCTACATATGTCCTTATTGTGATTGTTTATCTTTTATTTATTATAGGCCGGCAGCAAAATACCTAACATTCACAAATATAACACTGGTATCAGACTACGGTCTGCCAATGGTGAGTGAATATTTGAAAGCTGCAGAAACAAGTCTGCCGAGAGAGGGACGGTATACCGATCAGTATCTTCGAAGGCTTCCTTTCAGCTTCTACGCTGATATTATGGTTGCATCCTTAGTCAAGATTGACAGGTATGTTGCTATAATACTTTTAAGAAAATTGTCATGACGTATTAGATGCCTAAATGATTGCCTTTCGCTAGCTTTACTTTTGCTGCACTATTCTTAACGCCTCATGGATTTTTCTTTTTGTCCAAATCCATCCATTTTCCATCCATTCTTCCTAGCACTACATCTCAAATATTTCCAAGTGTTTTTTGCCTCTTTGACAGCACTAATATCAACGGACACATGTACATTAAGTTTAGTTTGCGTTTGCGCGACTCGACATAAATGTTAACCATAACATTACTAAAAAAATATAGGTTCTAGCTGGAGTGGTTTCGCCAGTAATGGAGCCCTACACTCGCTGGTTTTTTCGGGAAATTATGAGGAGAACCCGTGATACTACTCTTTTCTGGCGTGTTCAAACGTTCGCGAAGGGAGAATCGGCAAATCTCTTGGTTTTTAGTTAACAAGTTAGCTCTTTGAAAACTGTAAGGCAATGATTCCAACTAATATTTTCTATAACGATCTTTTGAAAGTATGGAATATGCAAGAAGAACTTTACGTGGTAATATCATTGAACTACGATTATTTATTGTAAATTTCTTTAAAACGGGGAAATTCTTACATAGTCATATGGGCATATAATCTACTGAGCAACACATGGGAAGACATTTGCTATCTCTGCTCAATAGTATATCAACTTAGGTTTTCAAGATTGCTATACATTTTATTTTATTTTATTGTAAACAAATTAGCTTAAGAACTAAAGCGATGTATTATAAACCCTTTTTCTGCTACATTTTTTCTAACATAATTGCGACGGTATTACTCTTAAAATTTAAACGTTAATTAAATTAAAATTTTAACGCTACTGGATTCAACAAAAGGACGAATTCCTGGGCATGTGTTAGTTTTCCTTATACAGGTTGAATCAATGTGTTGGAGCAATAAATATATTGAATCCGATACGTTAGATCCACTTTGTTAATGAATAATGACAAACGTAGATTAATACAATTAACGCAAAGATTTTATATTATGATTTTTTTTGTTTATTTATTATCAATGAAGTGTTATTAAGTTTATATTTTATGTTTTTTCGCGTAAGGTCTCTTTTTAGTGAAATTGGTAATTCACTTATAAGGCTGGGAATACAATAGCTAGTCTGTTGTCTACCGTACTCATTCTTAGTTTTACACTTGATGAGTATAGATAGCATTAGATTTTCCGCGGGTTTGCTTATAATGGGTGTATGTTTTTTGTATGTCGGTGTTAAAAAATTCTTCTACCAGTAACATGTACCTACTTGATTTTGTCATGGATTGGCATAACTTTGCAGTGTTTAAATAACGACTGTGTCTTTTATATTATATTGAATTTTTTTAGGTACTATTGTTTTCATGAATCTAAGTTGCAGTTCATAAATTTTATCTAAGTGAGTATTAAACGTTCTGCCATAGCTGCTCAATCAATATCCAATGATTGATTCACATAAGGATTTATATAGTGTCAACAGAATGTGATAGGGGATTTTGTATTTAATTAATGAGAATTTGGCGTAGAGTGCTCCTAGTTCCGTACAAATGTACGTGATGTGCGCATTCCTCTTAAACCGACTGTCAATTATTAACCCCAGATACATTTCAGTATCAACTGTGTCTATCTTCTACAATTGCAATTTGTAGTAAATAATTTTAAATGCAGGCATGTGTGACTATGTGCAATGAGTTCCAGTTTACGGGGAGATATATTTTGGCTGGATGAAATATACATCAACTTAGTTTTTAATGGATTTATAACTAGGCGCGCATCGTGCGACCACATTGACAATAAGGAAAAGTAGTTTTTAGACGATTTATAGCTATTCCTATATCGTATCTGCTGAATATAGGTAAGTATCACCAGCAAATTGATATATCTCACATTTATTAATAACGTTGTTAGATCATTAACGTACGTTAGGTATTGCAATGGTTTAAATACTGAACCTTGCGCTGTGCCTTGTGTAACGTATTCTTTCACACTGGTGGCATCACTAACCTTGACGTAAAAGGCTCTATTGGTTAAGTAATCATTGCACCACTGTATACGCCTGATCCCGCAGTCATCTAACTTTTCCAGTAGCAATTTGTGTTGAAGGGTGTTAAATGCCTTATTGTAGTCAATAAAAGCAACCAATACGTGTTTCTTATTATTAACGTGCATACTGACGTCGTCAGTAAAAGTCGACAACAACTGATTAGTACTTTTTCCTCTTTGAAATCAGTACTGTTTACTGTTAAGTATCTGATTAGATTCATAGAGAGTAAGAATTTGATTGCTAATGAATTTGTCTATTAATTTATCAATCACAGGAAGGATGGTAATCCGTCTATAATTTTCATAGTCGTTTTTAGAAGCCTCTTTAAGAATACATTTCTAAACTATTTTTAGTTTTAGACGTAGGAGCCGCGGATTAGGATGTGGCATCACAGGGTGTCGCGTCGTCGCAACTGTGTTGTACTACATATAAATCAGAACGACATGCCACACGGTGCGTTGAAACAGAGCGCGTCGATGGAACAGCTCGTGTGGCACCCAGTTCTTTGAAATAATAACGTTGCGCTACCGGCAACGCCTGTGTGGCATCACTCTAACTGGTTGACTTTACCATCTCAGTCAGCCGTGACCGTGGAGGTCCCATCAATCAACGTCCTCAGAAAGTCGGAAAGGATCCGAAACGTAGATTTGTTTGAAAAAATAATTATCTAGATCCGAAAAAATAGTAGGGACTAATTCCAATCTCAATACTAATTTTCAGGTTTTCTCTACCTAATTTCGGTGGCAATTTTTATTATTTAAGTATTCGAGTATATTATCTTGAATTATAAATAATATTTTAAGTTACTGCACTCGAACATTAAATAATACTTCATGATAAAGTTCTAGAATATTCGAACAATAAAAATTGCCACCGAAATTACGTAGAGAAACCTAATCTGAAATTAGGTACCCTAATTTGGGTCGGACCTCGGCTCCGACTACCTATTTACAGCCTTTGGAGTCGAAACCATTGGTCCGTGGGGTCATGGTGTCCTTCATCTGTATAAAATTTTATCCAAAAAATTAATAGATTGTCTGGGAAACCCAAGGGCCGGCAGCACCTTGCCCAACGGATTATAGCATAGCCATACAAAGGGCGAACGCTGCCAGCATCTTAGACACCTTGCTGCGGGGACCCCATTTTATTCATATAATTTAATCCTAGTTGCACTTTCTAGTATTTAAGCTTTCATTGTACCTTATCTGTATATTGCAACTTATTGTCTAATAAAATTGCCCATTTGGTACCCTAGTATATTAAAATGGTCTGTTTAGTAGAACTATCGGGTACCTATAATTTTTTTGAAGTAAAATTTGTTACTAAATTTTCAATTAGAATTTTAAGTTTTACGAATATGTTTGATGTTCCAGGAAAAAAAGATGCCTTCATTTCAGGGGAGGAGGAATAAAGTATTACGATGAATTAGTGTTATGTGTTGGCAAGCAGTTTCAGCATCCAGAATATCTTAAAGAGTCGCTTATGCTTGCCAATGAAATAAAGTGAGGCAATTGCATTATTTAAATATTTGTTCGATTCTTATATAACCGTTGGTTTTCGGTTATGGTACTCATAGAATACTGTACTATATGGGTGGAAAAAAATCAATGGGTCATGAAGGGGATCCTTTATTGTTTAAGATACTTAATTTCACTTAAAAAACATTCTGTTCTTAATGTGAATCTCCCAGAGTTTTTTGAAAAGCTTACTTAAGCCGGAAATTGAAGTAACTAAAATTGCAACAAATAAATACTCACTATTTTATTGACCCAAATGAATATTGCAGAGATTTTATCCTTATCATTGATCTTGATGATTATTGCAATAAAGTAGTGAGGGCTTATTTTTTGCATTTTTAGCTGCTTGGATTTCCGGTCTGCAGGTCGATTCAGAATCTTACGATAACTCTGTTGTCGACCGTTTCGATTTGATATCGTACGATTTCTTTTCATTTTTATTCACAATAACCGAAACAAACGTCAAACTGTCGTATTCGAAACCGAACCGACATGACGTCAGACCCGTACGATTAATTGATTGTAATATGGAAATCTCTTATTTTTTTAAATAAAGTCTGGTTTTAGTTAAATTTTATTCATTTATTTCAAAGACTAATGCATTCCTATATTTTATATTTTTAAAGTCTTAAAAATGTATATAAAAGGATTTAATTTTTCTTATAATCTATATTCACCGACTAACTCCGTAAACGCTGTTGAATAACGATATCGTATCCGAATCCGAATACAACGTTTAACTTGAATGTTCTGAATAGCTCGGAAAGCGCCCTTCGATTCGAGAACGACATCCAATCGAACGATTCGGTTAAAATATCGAAGAGTTCTGAATCGGGGTCCTGGTAAACTTTTAAGTAAACATGTAAAGCAGTTATTCATATTAAGAAAAATAAAAGATTTCTTTCTTTAAGAAATGTTTTATTTTTCATAACACAGTCTGCGTGCTACGTACTATGCCGCCTTAAACGTTTGTAAGTAATGTAGAACAATGTACTATTACGTTTAATTTCTTTTATTTTATCAAAGAACGTAAAATTTATTTGGCCATACGAAATCTTAATAGTTACGTCATTTTTCTACAACATTAAATATAATAAAAATTTCATAGGATAAGTAAGCACTACTCACACATACCAATGCTCGCTGGCACTCACTCACAACGTCGTCAATGTATATTGACGACAGTACTATTATTTTGTTATATTCGTTTAATGGCCTGAAGAAGAAACGTGTAATAAACGTTTGCATTAATGTATGAGAAAAATATTTGCCACAGCGCATCAATCGACAAAAGCACGGTCGTCGCGCGAATGTATTAGGTTCAATTTATATTGCGGCGAAATGGAATGGAATGGAATGGAAGCGTTAATTTCATCACGCTGCTGCGCGAGAAGGCGCGCACGGTCGCTGGAATACTCGAGCATTCCAGCGACTGCGCCTTGGGGCTATAGTATTTTGTTGACGTTTGACGTCACACAGCACCTGCATTTGACCATAAAGTTCATTATGCTATGTATAACATCGTTACAAAAATTTGCTTCAATACCGTTCCGCCGCAATATAAATTGAGCCTTAAGCATTTAAGGTAGTTCCCCTTCATGCCCTATTGCTTTTTTTTCGTCCTGTACATATTTCCGCGAGTATCATAGACACCCGTTTTGACGAATAAATCCTGACGATGCGATCGACAGCTAGTCACTTAGCTTCAACTTGCTTGAAAGATTGGTCTTGGTGATTATGTTGTAGATGCTTATGTCCTGTCCAGAGTACACCGACCCCGACGACCGCATAGGGGTCAATTCAATTATATCCAAAAGTAGACTGATTGTACTATAATGTTTGATGCATTGACCTGTACGGGTCTTACCGGTAGTATGGATGTAAATACTTTTTTTTATACAGAAAAGGTAAACCCTGCGATCGTATGCTGATGGACAATCCGAAGTACCAGCCGGATAAGGTTCCAAACCCGTCTGAGCTGCCGGTCAACATGATGCTAGTCAACAGCTTGAGCCAAGCTAATATGAGCTTTAACAAGCTCTTGCACATGATTTCAGAAAAAAGTCAGTACTTTCTTAAATTTTATTTTACTATCGTACGGATAACTGAGAAACCCAGAGATCTTTAGAATTATATGTACACGTTAACACTTTCGTGTTTTTTTTAAAGAATGTAGTAAATATATGGTCTCAAAATAAGGAATTCTCTTTGAGCAGTGAAATTAATTCCGAAACTCTACTCAATACCCAGATTAAACCCACTTCAGAAAAGTTCCCCAATTAGTCCTACCGGAAAGCGAACCTGGGGCCACCTCATCTAGCGCCCGTAGTGCTAACCACTTGTCTTTCGAAGTCCTCATGAATAAACGTAAAATTTGTTGAAATTATTTCCTTGAATTTTTCGTTGGCTTATAATCGGGGGACTGGATGTAGGCTGGAGTTCCACGCCTATGTTGTGGATACTCCAAAGATTCGCGTGAAGCGTTATGTTTCCACATTTATATGGCGAAAGTCTATGGTGTGGAATTCCCTGCCTATAGACTTGTTCCCTGAACGGTGTTACTTGGGCTTTTTTAAGACAAGAGGGAAATAGCAAAACGTGTGTGAATGCTCCATCGCCGGACTCATCGTCATTTTACATCAGGTGAGACGGAGGTTAAATGCGTTCTTATTGTAATATATAAAAAAGAAATGGTATCTAAATATATTACATATATACATACTATATACACTTCTTAACTTCTTAATTTTCCAAGTACCTAACATGTGTTTAAAAATATGTATATTTTCCAATTGAATAAGTTAATTAACAAATTCTCGTTAATTGAAAATATTCCTTATCAAAAAATATGGATCGGTTGTTGAAAAAAATTGATGTTTAAGTTTATTTTCCGCCAATAATTTCCAGTAGAGTGTTTATAATAAATATTTTGGTGAGACACTAAAATCAATTTAGTATTTGTTACAACATTGCATTTACAGAAGACGATCTAAACTCGGAGAACCCAGTGGTAGTATATGGCGACTGCATCGAAGCATATTGCTGCATGGCGGCGCTATTGGAGCTTGGAGTCATGAGTTGGGAGATCGTATTTGTTGAACCATTCCCGTCGGATGATGTTAATAAAATGAGAATCAACTGCTTCAATGATGAAGATGTAAATGATGTGCAGGGTTATTTTTAATCAAGAAAAACCGTTTTAACGTAATATATATAATGGCGTATTTACCATTCGCCTTGCCGACGCACCCAGTCTTTTCGGTTGACTTCGGCTGCAAACTACCGTCATCAGACGACTCACTATTTACACCGGGACTCAAGTTTACTAATTTTCTGAGATTATATTACTGTTATGATAATGTTCGTTATTCTGCTAAAATCTAATTGCAATGGCAGTTCAATATCAATATAATGTCACTGAAATGGCAATGGCGTTCATTCATTCAATCGCTACCGATCAATGTTGCCTTACTAAAATTACCATAAAAACATCGAGTATATAACCAGAAATAGAGACGAAATATGGGCCTTCCATCTCTGGCAACTCATCATTCAAATGGACCTTATATCACTTTTAAATATCAACTCTCGTTTGCGCTGAAATTCGAAATTAGACAGCTGTAATAGTACAGCGCCAACAACTGACCTGTGTGTACGTTTCCCGTATATTTCAAAAATATTCTGTATTTATTGTAACAAATATAATATCTCTAACAATGTTCCATTCTGTAGTGTGGGAAAAATAGCAAAACACATAATTACAAAACAAACGGAATCACATTACATCGGTAACTAAATATTAAATACGTAATTTTTAAATTTTCCCATTGTAGCAAAGCTCAAGTTAATCTGGTCGATTTGAAATGAAACAATTGACGACACCCATCAATTGTTTCGAATTCGGGCTGGCCAACCGGAGCGCAGTAGTCACCGTAATGATTTGGCAGAATAGCTTTCAAACAAATTAAATCACATTTCGTCTCTATTTCTGGTTACATACTCGATGCACAGAAATTATTATGCATATTTTAATTTTTATCTCAGCAATTTAGTCTTCTAAATAAACATATAATATATAACTCAATAATCGATTTAAGATTTGACTGCCTCCGTGGCCGAACGGTTACCATGCCGGACTGCCACGCAGAGGTCCCAGGTTCGATTCCCGGGCCGGGAGAAATATTTATATGGCCTACATTTATTTCTCTCGTGAGTTTGGGTGTAATTTGTGGTTTTCTATGTGTGTGTCCATAGCACCCGCGACACAGGGTTTCCCTAGTGCGGGGCTATGTTGAGTATGTGCGTTATTATTATTAAGTACTTAAATTGTAAGTAAAAATAATCGAATCATCGACGTGCTGTCGACTCGCCATTGAAAAGTAGAATACCCAAAAATTGCAATGGCAGTTGAATTGTAGCGAGTGCAAGCTATTCACAAGCCATTACTCAACTTTTAGGAGAATACCTAATGCACAAAATCCTGCTCTTCATAAAATTAGCGACTTGGGGCCCGGGTAGCTTGCTGCCTACGGCGGGCAAGCTAAGATTATTTTTTCTTTATAATGTCAAGGGACGGGACGAACAAGTCGTGCGCCTGATGGTATACTACACGCCTGTCCATAACAGCTGCACTGCCACGCAGCTCTTTGCACTACCACAGCGCCCGTCACCCTGAGATATAAGTTGATAAGTCCTATGTGCCTGTAATTTCACCAGCACCCTTACCCATCAAAACCGGAACACAGTAATGCTGACATCACTGCTTGGCGGCAGAAATAGATAAGGTGGCAGTACTTCCCTGGACGAACTCTTTCACAAGGAGCTCTACAGCTCTATTCTATTCTGCGGCAAGGTAAATAGAGTCATCTGACAAATGGACGCTTTTCTGGAGAGGTCTACGTCGTTCAATAGATTTACCTGTTGGGCTTGGATGAATTAATGTAAATATTTATTAAAATATGCTATGAATTGCTCGCAGGTAGACGAAAGAGTGCAAGAGAGCCTAGACATTCTCGGGATCCGTGTTTATAGAAAGTACCGACTCTCTAAGTGGACGTGTTTAAACGAACGCATATATTCCCTACGGCTGATGTCCCTGACGCATTGTATTAACTTACCTTGCTTTGCGCTATTTTATTTCGGATTGAAGGCTATTAATATTCACGCATTCAAAGGTTTCACTTGGGACAATTTATATCATTTTCATCGACTACCGTTATGTAAATGTACTATATATACATACATTCTTGACATACTTCATTCGTTTCCTCCATTTGCATCAGTCTTATCTTACGATCTAATTTAGTGTTGATATAATAATACGTTTCCGTGCACATCCACTCTATAAATATGTACCGTTACTTTACTAACGTCCATTATTGTTTTTAAACCATCGAACCATTGTCTTTCCAACATAGCATGCATACCCTTTTTCATCCTAATAAGTTTCACATAATTTCGCATCACAATTTTTTTTTATCATACCAACAGACGGGACGAACAATTCGTTTGCCTGGTGGTAAGTGCCTGTCTACAACAGTTGCAATGCAACTCAGAGCTTCAAATCACAAAGATCTGACGGACACTGCCACTGCGTCCGTTACTCTGAGACAAACCTTGACGAGTCCTATGTGTACTTTCACCATCACCAGAAACTCAAAATCGAAACGCAGTAATGCGTTACTGCTTGACGGCAGAAATAAATAAGGTGGCAGTACTTCTCTGGACGACTCTTTCACAAGAACCTCTACGAGTACTACTTACTTTGTCTGTAAGAGTGAGAATTACACGTACTATTATGCAACGTTTCAATTTTTACACCAATCCGTCTACTTATTTAGCTTCTTCTGCCATACAAATATTCTTTAGTGCCCCGATGATCAATCAGACATGTAATTTTTGACAAATTTTGACTACCCATAAAGGAATTCCGTTTTTCAATCTTCTTTCAATATCAAATGTTACTGTTAACATCATTTGTTGAGAGATAAAGAGGTGTAATTTGGTCGTATATTGTACGCATCCACCCTATCACTACATTCAAACTTCTTCAAGTTGTATATACTGCATAGCTATGTAATAAATATGCAATAGCAATGAATACATATTGCATTGACTATCTGGTAGGTAAGTTAAAGGAAATAATTCTAACCATCTTACACTCTTCGTGCTACTCCATCTCGTGTGTAGATGTCGCTACCTGCCTCATCCAGACCTCAATGCGTAAGGTACTTGAGCGTAACACGAGCTTGCAGGGGATTATATTTCGATTGCGTTTTAAATACAGTTGGAAGTTTAAAGAGACCAATAATACGGCTATCTTACGCGTCATTAAATTTTTAAAGCAATGGGATTGGTTAAATAAATCTTCTATTGTATTTTGAACTTAAACGAACTAAGAGTGTTAAGATGGTATTAAGCTTTTAAGCTAGGGTGGTTTAAAGTACTAACATTTACATAAGTATTGTGTTATATATATATAGCACATATTCAAATCCATTAATTTGATATGCGTATTGGTGTATAAGCCAGCCAGCCACTAATTTATACTAACGTATATTTTAGGGAGAGTGCTGCTGTTCATCAGTCCGAACTCGTCGCGGCATTTTTAGGAGATATTTTTATATTTTTTCTATATTAAACATTAAATATAATATAAACTATCCTGTTATCATCATCTTTAACCCCAATACTCCCCACTATTAGGTATGTATCTATTCTAAGTAGACGGTTTTGGTTCCTAGGCCGTAGTCATCTAAGCTGGCCCCTTATGCTCTCTGGGGATGAGCTCCTTAAATTTTCCCGCCATGTAAACATCATGATTTCTCTTTACTGTTAAAGCCAATGACAATAAACTAAACTGTATATGATTTGAAGAAAAAAAAAAAGACTAAGCCCCCTTGGTGGAATCGATTTCACCCAAGATCTTTTACATAAGAAGCGTTATTCCATCTAGACTGTCACTGTTTTTTTTAATCTTCATAAATTTAACTTAAAGTAAGTTTCAAATTATTGTTAAAAAAATTATTACATTGACACTACATTTTTAAATGATATCTTCTAAGTAGGGATAGAATAGTGCACTATTTGTTAGTACTAGATTGTGGTCAAAATATGGTAAATTTTCATGACCTAAAACCATGTAAAATTTCACGTACAAGTATTAGAGATGTCGACAGTTCTTCGTTTAGTATCGATGGTATACACTATAATTATCGCGACCCAGAACTTGGCGACACTAGTAACAACGAGCTACTCAAAAGTAATTTTATCCTTTTGTAGATAGTGTTACTTTTCAATAAAACAATCGCATGTTGCACAAACATCTATTTCACAATTTTAATCAAGACTCTGTGTAATGTTGCTATGTGTACATATTATATATTATTATAATGTATAATATGTAGATTTATTACGTACATGAACTACGTTGATATTATATTTTATACCATATAAATTAATCATTAGCTTACATTGTTTTGTTCTTCTTGTTTTAAGCATAGCACCCTGTATGTATGCACAATGTATTGTTTTTTTTTCTGTTTGACCCTGTGGTTGGCTGGTACAGAATGGTATATAAGTCCGCCATTTGTACTTCAGTGTATTGTACAATAAAGTTTAAATAACTAAAACGAAAGCATGATTAAAATATCAACTTTCAAATGCAGCTTATTTAACTTGCTATTTCCTCTCCAGCTATAAACGAATGCGGTTTAGTGTACGATGGGGGGCTAGTGGTAGGTCCACATTTTGAAACAAACGATCCTCATATATACGGCGCTGGCACATGCACGCAGTACTCGAGAAAGTTGTACGCGTCACGTTACAAGCATCGATATTTTAGCTCGGAGGACGTAGGCGGGGCGGTATGTACGACATGCATTAAATACAGTCAAGAGCACATCAAGATTGACACTTTGTACTTTGGACCGTTCTTATCGTAAGCGGCATAGAGTTGGATTTATTAAGTGTCAAGCTTGACGTGCTTTTCACCCTGTACATACCAAGTAGCTACTCGTATTAGCTAGATATATTAAGCTGGCTGTACTTGTTATGAATAACGCATTTTCGTTTCGGTAATTTTTGAGATATTGACTTAGTTTTTTTTTCTAATAAAAATGTCAATTACACACATCAAAAAAAGTTTGCGATCACTTCGAAAAACTGAAATCTTTTTTGTTACTGTAGATTATATTATTATTTTTTCTTCTTTTTAGATTCTTTATTTAAAAATAAATTAGAACATAAAACAATGACCCCGTTCAATTGTTTTTTCATATAAAAAGGCTTTCAGTCCTAGCTTACGCTCATTCAGAAATCTGATTTAGTCAATTATAAGCGATTCAAGATATTTTTCGCGGAAAGTTGTGATTGAAAAAATGCCAAGAGGATTATCAGAGGTTTTACGAGCTAGAATAGTAACTTTGAGGGAAGAAGGATACACCACGAGAGTAATAGCACGCAGACTTGCTATATCCCAATCCTGTGTCGTGGCTACGTTGCAGAGGTATCACGGAATGGGGAATTTAGCTGACCGACCCCGCAGCGGTCGTCCAACTGTTTTGACAGCTGCCCAAAAGCGCTATATTAGATTGCTGGCAGCCCGTGATCCAACAATCAACGCCACTAAAATAAAAGCAGAAGTCAGGGCCGCCTCTGGGCTTGAAGTTAGCACGCAGACCGTTCGCAATTGCTTGCACCAGGCTGGATTACGAGCACGGAGGTCTTGGCGAGCTCCGCTCAATTCCCGGCAACGTCAACAACGAAGATTGCAGTGGGCTAGACTTCGGCAAAATGAAGAAGGTGAGGACGAAAACATTTGGCAAAACTGTCTCTTCGTTGACGAATCCCGAATCAGCACTCATCCAGATAACCGACGTGTCCGTGTCTGGAGAAGACCAGGCGACCGTGAAAGACAAAGAACTGCCACTGGAACAGTTCAGCAAGGCGGAAAATCGGTGTCCTTTTGGGGTGGCATTATGATTGGAGCTAGAACGCCTTTGATCCCGTATCGGGGCTTCATGACAGCAGACATGTACAAAGCAGTTGCTATTGATGATATCGTCAGATCATTCCGAGTAAACCATGGGCACCAATTTGTACTGGTCGATGATAATGCGCCCGCACATCGAGCTCAACGAGTCAATGCTGCTCTTCAAGAATACGATATCACACGATTAGACTGGCCTGCCGGCTCGCCCGACTTAAACCCAATAGAGCACGCGTGGGATGCTCTTAAATGAGCAGCATGGAACCGTGAGCCACGTCCTCAGACAGTTCCAGAGCTCAGGGAAGCCGCTATTGAAGAATGGGATAGGTTACCCCAGGAAATGCTGGATAACTTGATCCTCAGCATGCCCAGGAGGATCTTCGCATGTATTCGAGCCAGGGGAGGAGTTATTTTATATTGAATTCACACCTTTTAATAATAAATTGTTGTTTAAGTTTAATTAAACAGTCTTTTTCTTTCTATGAAATTTCTATCACTATTACATTATGATTAATGGCTCAATTTTTTAAAATAAAGAATAAAAAATAGTTTTATATTTTAATTTCAAACAGGGTATTCCTATTTAAAGAAAGCATACAACATAGATTTTTTCTTGATAAAGTTAAATTTAAAGAATTATAGGAGCTTATGCTATTGATCGCAAACTTTTTTTGATGTGTGTATGCTGATTTTGCTTAAGGGTCAAAACTACCTCACTCGAATTCAAATGTTTCCCATACAAATATGGTTTATTTTGCTTGGGTCGAGCAGCAGAGACGTCTGGCTTTATTTCAGAATTTTAATAAATTAAATAATTTCAAAGAAATTAATGCCATTTGAAAAATGTATATCGTATAGTATATACGTGTTCAATTTACTTCAGTTGATATAAAAAAAATAATTGGTAAAGTACCGATTGAATACAACGGTTTTCTTGTAAAATGTCGAGGTATGTTTGTGTTTTTTTTAGGAATCGTGTTTTTACACCGTGTAATCAGTGCATATCCTCAACTTTACTATATATTTTTTCCAAAGTGATTGGATTCAACACTTTCACAGTTAGGCGGAACCATCGAGTATATAACCAGAAAGAAGACGAAATGTTATTTCTTCTTTTAAATGTTATGGCCCCATCGAAATAATCAATGATTTTGCCAATGTCAAGTAAAAATAACTAGGTACGGTAGTTTAGTATTATTATAAAAATTATACAAAAAAAATGGCGATTTCGCCAATGTCCTGAAATGTTATTTAATTTGTTTGAAAACTGACAAATCGTTACGGTGACAACTGCGCTCTGATTGGCCAGCCCGAATTCGAAACAAATGACGGGTGTCGTCAATTATTTCACTTCAATCGACCAGTTTAACTGGAGCTTTGCTTCCATTATAATGGACGAGAATCGAAAAATTACATATTTAATTACTGATGAAACGTGATTCCGTCTGTTTTATAATTAGATGTTTTGCTGTTTTTGCCACACCACCGAATGGACCAGTCCTTTATTAGAGATATTATCTTTATTACAATAAATACAGAGTATTTTTGGTTTTTGGTACGTGTGCGCGTGAGAAAAAGAGTGCATATTTGATGTGAGCGATGAAAAATTTATATCGAAACTGATAAAGAACATTTTGAATATTTCATTTGCTTCTGCTCAAAATTAATTAGCACCGTATACATTTTCAAATTCTAAATTTATTAGACCATTGTGTAAACCTCTTATAGGAAGTTACATTTCAGTATCAATTTTGGCGAATTAGATCATTCCATAACTTTTGACGGTTGTTAAATAAAGCGGATAAGAGATAACCTTAGGATACGGGCAGCTGCTCTTTTTGTATGTATTTGAATGGCACCTATGTTTATAAAACTTGCCTATCAACTATGGCTAAATTGAAGTCCAATATGGGGGCAGTGGCGATTTTCGATAACGAACGATAGCGTGTTTTCAGCTAGCCCAACTGTTCCTGCGTCACTTCGATCCCTTCGTTGTAATGAATCCGGATTTTGCACCATGTCCTTCGGAACTATTGCCGAGATACGATTCAACTATGTTGCGGTAAGTTTTTTACGTTTTACGTTTTACAAAAATATTAAAGTAAATGATGGTGACGAACATTTCCCAAGTAACCACAAACACAGAGGCGGCTTTCAGTGTTTCAGGATTCTTATGAACTCGTACATTACAAAAATTCCCGCGCCCGGAGCGCTTCCGCGGCCGCCTCTGTGTGGCCAGAGCATAAATTTATTTATTTAAAGATATTTTACATGATTTATTTTAATTTTTCACAGTAATTTTTCACATTCGAGTATACCAGAAGGGCTACGAGTAGATATGAGTTCGTCCAGAGAGTAAGCTTCGTTGTATATTTATCCGTTTCGTTAAACATACTTTCTCTCTTTTTGTAGTCGGGTAGTCATAATTAAAGTGAGTAACTTTGTAGATGGAAACCTGTAATGAAATTCGAATCACCCATATTGATTGCGGGGACTTTTCCGGGTCCTTTGTACTATATGAAGTTGAGGAAACCTGGTCGAGATGTGCCCATGGAAGTTCAGAAGAATTTGCCACATCAGGTACCTACTGTTAAATCATAGTAGTTACCAAAACTTATTATTTATGTATCAACAGGTATATCGAGGTCTATCTTTATATTAATAAGGAGGTGTATATACAGCATAACGTACACGTCCTTAAATTTGTATAGAATTGATATTCAATTATTTTTTTGTGAAGTTACTCCACTAGTTTGTTATAATTGTTAGTACAAAGATCCATGGATTTCATAGATGGCGCTACGGCTAAATAGTCGTTGAAAATCAAATATAAAAGATCCGACAAAACAAGCACATAGAAAAATTCGTGAGGTCCGCTGGTTTATTTCGTGGCTTGGTTGGCAAAGCTTCTAGCACTGGCGTTGCTAGAACTTGTCGGTTTGAATCCGGCCGAATCGAAGGAATTTTTTCTAAGTGTTCGATGTTTGTATTAATAATTATACACGTCCTTATTAAACTGTCAGTACAGTTCGGACACTTTACTCGAGCCATTGTCACGTTCTTCGCGATGTTCATTCGAGTACCAGCGAATTAAAGCACTTTTTGTTATAAGAATTTTGCCTATACTTTTTTATAATATA